GAACAAGACAGAGGCAGGAGAAAGACAGCAAGGCATGAGCCAGGGACGGGCAGGGAGGACGGGGGGAGGACGGAGAAGGGCGGGTGGACTCTGGAGAGGTCAAGGGCTTTGCGACTGACACTTGTTGAAGAGGAGGAACTGGAGCCTGAATCTCAGCTCAGAACATCCAAGCAGACTACGGAGGCACAGGCAGAGCCACGGGGTGGGGGCGGCATGCAGCACCTCTGGAGGGTTAGAGTTCTGGTCACAGCGGTCAGCATTGGTGGGTACCAGGCCGGACCCAGCAGCTTCCCAGCACCAGAGGATGGATGCACCCTGCCCCTGCCCGCCTTTCCGCCCCTCAGCCCCAACCCCCAGGGCAGGTCTAAATAAGTGTTTCTCCAGCTGGCTTTGGCAGCCAAGACGCAATGTCATTTCTAGATGAGCCAACCAGCTCTGGAGATGTGCCAGGCTGCAGGGTGCCAGCAGGAGGTGGGGGGCAGCTGTGTCCCCAAAACCCAGCCAAGGAGCCACCTCCCACAACCAACCAAGGCAGTGGCAGAGGCAGGGCTGGCAGGGGGTCCCCAGCCCCAGCTGGCTGGTGCAGGGACAGCTTTGATGGGACCTCCGTCTGCCTGGGCTGCAGCCTCCCTGCAAGTTCAGGTCCCCCCAGCCCCCACGGCTCCTATCAGCCAGAAGTGATGCCCCCTCCCTAGGTCAGTAAGCACTGAGGTATTTGCTAGTTCCTGGGGTGTACGCAGCTCTGTTCCTGGGTCAGTGCACTAGGAAGGACACAGGCTTTGGAGGCGTCAGAGCCACGGTGGAGGTTGCTGGATTGTTTGTTTTGACAGGGTCTCAAACAAACTCTGCCACCCAGGCTGGGGTGCAGTGGCATGATCGCAGGTCCCTGCAGCCTCCATCTCTCGGGCTCAAGCAATCCTCCAGCCTCAGCCTCCCACGTAGTTGGGACTACAGGCATGTGCCGCCATGCCCACCTCATTTTTTAATTTTCTGTAGAGACAGGGTCTTGCTGCATTGTCCAAGTTGGTCTATAACTCCTGGGCTCAAGCAATCGTTTCACTTCAGCCTCCCAAAATACTGGGGTTCCACGTATCAGGTTCCAGGTACCCGGCCATTCGTTGGAGTTCTGTCTGTCCCGCTATTCACCTGTTTCTATCCGTGGACTTCAGTTTTCTAGCCTGTCAAGTGGCATAAGAAAAAGCCTCTAACAGCCGGGTGTGGTGGCTCACGCCTGTAATCCTAGCACTTTGGGAGCCTGAGGCAGGCAGATCATCTGAGGTCAGGAGTTCAAGACCAGCCTGGTCAACATGGTGAAACACTGTCTCTACTAAAAATACAAAAATTAGCTGGGCATGGTGGTGAGTGTCTCTAATCCCAGCTACTCAGGAGACTGAGACAGGAGAATCACTTGAACCCGGGAGGTGGATGTTGCAGTGGGCCGAGATCATGCCACTGCAACCTCCATGCCACTGCACTCCAGCCTGGGCAACAGAGCAAGACTCCATCTCAAAAAAAAATAACAAATAGAAAAATTAGTGGCCCATGCCTGCAGTCTCAGCTGCTGGGGAGGCTGAGGCTGGCGAATCACTTGAACCTGAGAGGTGGAGGTTGTAGTAAGTTGAGATCGTGACACCACACTCCAGCCTGGGCAACAGAGAGAGACTCTGTCTCAAAAAAAAAACAAGGAAAGAAGAAACCTTCCCCACAAACGGGTCAGTCATGAGAACTAAATCAGAGTATATGCAGACGAGAATGACAAGACTTTTCTAGTCTTCAGGAATTTCCGCAGGGACCCAAGGCTGAGAGCAAGGGGTAAGCAGCGCCCACACCTTAAGAGGGGTGCCAGACACACCTTCAGGACTCGGCGGGAGGACAGAACTATCCTATGTGGCCCCCACCCGCCTGCATCAAAGTCATGCTTGGGGGAGGATTTATTAAAAGAGTTCTGCCCTTGACCAGGTGCGGTGGCTCACACCTGTAATCCCAGCACTTCGGGAGGCCGAGGTGGGCGGATCATGAGGTCAGGAGTTCGAGACCAGCCTGACCAACATGGTGAAACCCTGTCTCTACCAAAAATACAAAAATTAGCTGGGTGTGGTGGCGCATGCCTCTAATCCCAGCTACTAGGGAGGCTGAGGCAGGAGAATCTCTTGAACCCACGATGTGGAGGTTGCAGGGAGCCGAGATTGTGCCACTGCACTCCAGCCTGGGCAACAGAGCGAGACGCCGTCTCAGTAGTAATAATAATAAATACAAAAATTAGCTGGGTGTCATGGTGCAAGCCTGTAGTCCCAGCTGCTCAGGAGGCTGAGGCAAGAAGATTGCTTGAGTCCAGGAGTTCCAGACCAGCCTGAACAACATAGTGAGACTGCCATCTCTAAAAGATGAATAAATAAATAATAAAGAGTTCCACTCTTAAGCTGAGTAAGGAGCTTCAGGTGACAATCCCCACAGAGGGCAGTGCTTAGGAAGCTGGCCTTTCCCCCCTGGCTAGACACCAGCTAAATGCCAAACCTCCTGTACAGGGCACCTGAGGGGCGTGCACAGAAGGCGTCCTCAGGACATCCAGATGCACATCATTTGGCATTAGGGGAGACGGATCCTGGGGCCGCGATGCCAGATCGAGCAGTCTGCAGTGTCATGGCGGGGGACAGGGTGGCAGTGGGGGAGGCTTCCCTTCCTGACCTCCTCCAGGGGTCAGATGGACACCATGGAGGGAGACAGGTGCTCATGAGAGGGGAACCCTTGCAGGATCTCCTGCCTCGGCAAGAAGGCCAGGCTGGAAAGGCAACCCTGCAACAAGGAATTGGGCAAAGCAGAAACCAGGGCCACAAAATGCCCACAAAAGTGCCCGCCCACCCCGCCTCTGGGCATCTGCCACAGGGAAGGCACTAATAGTCAGCAGAAACAGCTCTGGACACAGGAAATGCATGGCCGTTCTGGGCCTGCTCATCTCTGGAGGAGACAGAATCTCCAGGGGAGGCGTGGTGCCGGGATGCCGGTAGAAGATGGAACAAGGGGAACAAGACGAAACTGCAGCCCCCCACTTCCCAAGGCAAGTTTCTGGGCCTGGAAAGAAGCTTCGTTTGGGGCCGGGCGCAGTGGCTCACGGCTGTAATCCCAGCACTTCGGGAGGCCAAGGCAGGCGGATCACGAGGTCAGGAATTCGAGATCAGCCTGACCAACATGGTGAAATCCCGTCTCTACTAAAAATACAAAAATTAGCTGGGTGTGGTGGCGCATGCCTGTGATCCCAGATACTCAGGAGGCTGAGGCAGGAGAATCACTTGAACCCTGGAGGCGGAGGTTGCACTGAGCCGAGATTGTGCCCCTGCACTCCAGCCTGGGCAACAATGCGAGACTCCATGTCAAAAAATAAAATACAAAAATTAGCCGGGTGTGGTGGCTCACACCTGTAATTCCAGCTACTCAGGAGGCTGAAGCAGGAGAATCGCTTGAACCCAGGAGGCAGAAGTTGCAGTGAGCTGAGATCACACCACTGCACTCCAGCCTCGGCAACAGAGACTCAGTCTCAAAAAAAAAAAAAAAAAAGCAGCAGCAGCAGCAGCTTTATTTGGAAGCAGGGCCAAAGTTTTGGTTTCGACGATTTCAATGGGAACAGCCTGTTTAGCTCCTGCGTGTGACTGCAGAAGCGATGGGCTCTGGCCATGGGCGGGAGATGCAGCCAAACTGGTGGGAGGACCACAGAGCCATGCCTGGTTCCCTTTCCCCAGGCCTGCTCCGTGAACCTGCTGTACACACAAGCGCATCTGTGTCTGCAGGCTCCGGCTCAGGGCTGTGGAGCTGGGAGAGGCAGGGAGCTCCGGCCCCTCTGCTTGCCTCCAGGCTGGTGTCACCCTCTCCGAAGCAGTGGCCCTTCCCCCTGTTGGGGACAGGCAGGGCTGGGGCTTTGAGGAGCCAGGGACACTGCTGCACACGGGACTCTCGGGCTCTGGTCTCCACCCTTTTGACTCCCTGTCCATGGACAAGCCCCATAACCCTCAGCGCCTCCTGGGACCCAAACCAGCATGAGCCCAAGTGGGAACATGAATTCTGGCGTGAGGACAGAATGGTCTGGGAAGGCTTCTGGAGAAGCAACCTTTGAGTTGAGACTTGCAGAAGGAGGGTTTCAGGATGCACCAGAGAGGAGATGGTGCTCTTTTTGGAAGAAATGGACACATGCAAAGTCTGGGAAGCGTGTGTGCCCACGTGGCTGGCATGGCCACAGCTGAAGGCCCCTGAAGGGCTGTGATGCAATGTGGATTCAGAACAGTCGACGTGACCGTGATTATCAACTGAAAGCAGCGTCCACACTGGCCATAACCAATCTGGGCCTTGCTTCCCTCCTCTGTGACCTGGGGAGAATTGCTCTATTTCTTCCTGGGCTCACAATATGACCTGGCAATAAATGAGTCCTATTTTCTCAAACTAACACATTAACCCAGAGCTCAGAGGACACCTTTTACAGTCAGAAAAGCTTAGGCTCAAATCTCAGTTCTGTGGAACTCCTGTTAAGCTTCTCTTCCCCGTATCCCCACCCCCACCCCGCCCCGTCACCAAGATGGAGTCCCGTTCTGTCGCCAAGGCTGGAGTGCAGTGGCACGATCTTGGCTCACTGCCACCTCCGCCTCCTGGGTTCATGCGATTCTCCTGCCTCATCCTCCTGAGCAGCTGGGATTACAGGTGCCCGCCACCATGCCTGGCTAATTTTTTTGTATTTTTAGAAGAGATGGGGTTTCACCATCTTGGCCAGGCTGGTCTCGAACTCCTGACCTCAAGTGATCCACCCGCCTTGACCTCCCAAAGTGCTGGGATTACAGACGTGAGCCACCATGCCCGGCCAAGCTTCTCTTTGCTGATCTGTAAAATGGGGATTACAAGCTCTATTCAGAAGGAAGGCAGAACATAATGTACGTAAAGGCCCGGCCCAGCGTGAGCCTGTGGAAACAGAAGCCCTCACCCCCGACACTGTCTCTGCCTCCACAGAGGCTCTCACTTACGTAGGACACCAGCAGGTTGGTCGGGGCCAGGACGAGAGCCAGGTAGAGGCAGGGGGCTGCGGCGAGTAGGCTGGAGGCGCAGATGAGGGGCTCGGCTCTTGGGTTGACTTTCTTGTACCTCCTCGAAACTTCTGCCCCCAAGATGACCCCAATGACGCCGGTTATGATGGTCAGTGACCCAAAAATCAGGCTGATGGGGAAGAGCACAGAGGGGTTGGTCAGCTGGGTGGGGTCAGCACAGGGACCTTTCATCCTGCTCCCAGCCCCAGGTCTAGTCACTTGGCCCAAGCGCACGATCTGATGCCTGCAGGGAGCATTGCTGTGGACCCCTGACCTGACCCAGGCCTTACCCACCCTTCTCACTGATGCTCTCAGGGCCTGCGGACCCTGATCAGGGACCAACATCCCCCCGCCCTTCCCCACCCCCTTTCCTGCCCCATCCGCTGCCTCATCCTGGGGATCCCACTGGCCATGTAGGTGATCACCCAGCACCCCAGGGCCCAGCCTGCCTCATCTCCATTGACCCTCACCCTCCCACCACCCAAAACGGCCCCACTCAAAATCTTTATTCCAGGGTCCCGCTCTGGCCCCAGCCTTTCCAGCTCCCAGTACTAAGAGGAATGGAGGTGAGCGCACATGGACTGACTGGGCCCCCGTGATGCACCCGGCCCTCGTCTGGGCCCTGAACACACACTCCCCCCCTTGAATCCCACCCTTCCAGTCCCTGTCTTCAAACCCCTCTCAAGCAGCACCTGCGACGGAAGTCCCTTCCAGCCCTCTCCAAGACCCACTTCAACTCTGCTTGGCTTCCCCTTGCTGATCCTTCCTGTGGAGACCTGTCCCTCCGAAGTAACCTCCAGACAGGCTCCCCAGTGCACTGCAAACACAGATCTGTGGTGGGAGGAGGTCAAGACCAGCAAGATCCCGTTTCTACAAAAAAATGTTTAAATTATCCAGGCTTGAGAGCGTGTACCTGTAGTCCCAGCTACTCAGGACGATCACTTGAGGTCAGAAGTTCAAGGCCACAGGGAGCTACGGTCATACCACTGCCCTCCAGCTTGGGCAACAGAGCAAGAACCTGTCTCTAAAAGTAAAATTAAAAACAAAAACCTGACCTTGTCCCCGCCCACCTCCTACCTGAAATTCTCCACAAGCTCTCAAACACCCATGAGATCTGTCCCCAGTTCCATATGGCATACATTGTCCTTCGTGATCTGACTCTGGCTCACATCAACCCCAGGTCCCAGCTCTATTTTCTCCCAGCTCTCTTTTCTTCCCCTCCCCACTCCACACCTCATACTTTCATTCCTCCATCAGGAACAGCCTTCACTAGTTTTTGACCTACCAAACTCCTACTCATCCTTCAGAACCCATCACAGCCTCCTTGTGGATGCCCTTCCTTTGTTCCCTTGCTGATCCCTTCACTCCCATCAGTTCCCACAGCACCTTCTGTGTCTCCAGGTTCATTCCCGGCCAGGAAATTCCTAGAGAACAGTGACAGGTTTGGTGTCTTTTCTTGACTCTCTGCTGGGAGCAATGAGCTCATTGATCCCTCCTAGAATTCCCAGACAGACAGACAAACAAGGTGAGGCTGAGAAAGGGCAAGGCCAAGATTACCCAGCTGGCAAATGACAGACCAGGATTGGAATATACATCATCACCCTATTCGTCCATTCTGCAACCTCCAGCCTCCTTTTAAAGGAGCTCAAAGGGGCCGGGCAAGGTGGCTTAAGCCTGTAATCCCAGCACGTTGGGAGGCTGAGGCGGGTGGATCACTTGAGGTCAGGAATTCAAGACCAGCCTGGCCAACGCAGCAAAACCCCGTCTCTACTAAAAATGTAACAATACAAAAATTAGCTGGGCATGGCGGTGGGCACCTGTAATCCCAGCTACTCGGGAGGTTGAGGCGGGAGAATCACTTGAATCCGAGAGGCAGAGGTTGCAGTGAGCCAAGATCGCACCACTGCACTCCAGCCTGGGTGACAGAGCGAGACTCCATCTCAAAAAACAAAACAAACAAATAAAGGAGCTCAAAGGAAAGGCTGAGACCGACCAGCATGAACTCTTGAAGACACCAGTCTAACCAGGGTCTTTCCAGCCTCAGTGGCTGGTGCTCCTCCCAGCAAGCTCCCGGCCAGCACGGATGGCCCTGCAGGACCGGTCCATGCTGACCGAGGCAGCTTCCCCTCTCTTCTCCCGCCCTGACTTTGCACAAAGGACTGGGAATTCTCCAAACTCACCCTCTACCTGCTGGCCTGTTTCCTGGGTGCAGAATACCACAGCCCCCCACCCACCATTCGCTACCTGGCCATATCCACTGCTAGAGCCAAACGTTTCTAGAGGTGTGGATGGCCAGGCGCCCTGCTATCATTCTCATAGTTCCCACCAAGATGGAAGACAGTCACAGAGGCAAGATTATGGTTACCAACGAACTGTACTATGAGAAAACCACTTCTCCCCTAAGAACATCCGTGAAGTGTCCATCTCGAAGGCTGAGGACTAATGGGTTAATTCCCCTCTGCCATCCTCCCAGTGTAGAGAAGACAGTGTAGTGCCCAGAGAGGGCAGGAACTTGCCTGAGGTCACACAGCCCCTCAGGGGCACAACCAGGGCCTCAGGGCCCTCTGCCTGCCAGACGGAAGCATGTGCGTCCTTGGGTAGTTCAGAAGTGTTTTCCAAACCTTCCCAGGCTTCTGAGCAGTTCGAGGTCTGGCTCAGTCCAGTCAGGTGACTGGAATCCCGGAGGAATGCTAGCCGCCTTTGAGTCCTGGTCTGAGCTGACCTTAGCAGGTTCTCGATATATTCATGAGACTTAGGATTGATTATTCAGACAGGCTGCCTGAACAGGCACCCCCACCAGCCCCTGAGCGGGAGGTACAGCCAGAGGGCACGCCACAGCACCAAGCCCTTCGAGTTCCCTCCGTCTACATAGGGCCTTCCCAGCATCACAGATTCTCACAGCCAGGACAGCCCTTAAAGACCTATCAGCACGGCCAGGCGCAGTGGCTCACGACTGGAATCCCAGCACTGTGGGAGGCTGAGGTGGGCGGATCATTTGAAGTCAGCAGTTCAAGACCAGCCTGACCAATATGATGAAACCCCGTCTCTACCAAAAATACAAAAATTTAGGCCAGGCACGGTGGCTCATACTTGTAATCCCAGCTTAGGTGGCCAGGTGGGTGGATCAATTGAGGTCAGGAGTTTGAGACCATCCTGGCCAATACAGTGAAACCCCATCTCTACTAAAAAGACAAAAATTAGCTGGGCATGGTAGCAGGCACCTGTAATCCCAGCTACTGAGGAGGCTGAGGCAGGAGAATCGCTTGAATCTGGGAGGCGGAGGTTTGCAGTGAGCCGAGATCTTCCCACTGCACTCTAGCCTGGGTGGAAGAGCTAGGCTCTGTCTCAAAGCAAAACAAAACAAAAATTAGCCAGGCATTGTGGTGTGTGCCTATAATCCCAGCTACTTGAGAGGTTGAGGCAGGAGAATCGCTTGAACCTGTGAGGCGGAGGTTGCAGTGAGCCAATATCACACCACTGCACTCCAGCCCAGGTGACAGAGCGAGACTCCGTCTCAGGAAAAAAAAAAAAAAAAAAAAAAAAAAAAAAATCTGTAAGTTCTACACTGATCCCCTGTACATTGGCCCTGGCAAGCAGCTGCCCAACCTCCACTTACATGCCCCCTGGGGCAGGAAGCTCACTACTCCCCTCCCCATACAGCCCCTTCCATCTGAGCCACTTGGGCTCTGAGTGTTGGAAGTTTTCCCTCTGGCTGAACTGGAATCCTGTGTCCTGTGGCTTCCTGCCCCTGCTCACCCTCACCCGGGAGCTCACCCTCACCACAGGGGAGATATTAACAGCTGAGGTCTGTGCAGAACCCCCACACCAGGGCCTTCTGTCCGCTCAGGGGTAGGCTGAATGAATCCCTCCCCCCACCCCCCCGCAAGATGTCTACGTCCTAATCTCTGCAACCTGTGAATGCTACCTACCATATATGAAAAGATATACTTTGTAAGCCAGGCGCAGTGACACACATCTGTAATTCCAGCACTTTGGGAGACCGAGGCAGGTGGATAACTTGAGGTCAGGAGTTTGAGACCAGCCTGGCCAACATGGTGAAAGTCGGTCTCTACTAAAAATACAAAAAATTAGCCGGGTATGGTGGCAGGTGCCTGTAATCCCAGCTACTCGGGAGGCTGAGGCAGGAGAATCACTTGAACCCGGGAGGCAGAGGCTGCAGTCAGCCAAGATTATGTCATTGCACTCCAGCCTAGGCAACAAGATTGAAATTCTGTCTCAAAAAAAAAGCAAGAAAGCCAGGCGCGGTGGCTCAAGCCTGTAATCCCAGCACTTTGGGAAACCGAGGCGGGTGGATCACGAGGTCAAGAGATCGAGACCATCCTGGTCAACGTGGTGAAACCCCGTCTCTACTAAAAATACAAAAAATTAGCTGGGCGTGGTGGCGCGTGCCTGTAGTCCCAGCTACTCGGGAGGCTGAGGCAGGAGAATTGCCTGAGCCCAGGAGGTGGAGGTTGCGGTGAGCCAAGATCGCACCATCACACTCCAGCCTGGGTAACAAGAGCGAAACTCCGTCTCAAAAAAAACCCAAAAAACAAAAAATAGACAGGCATGGTGGCACGCACCCGTGGTCCCAGCTACTTGGGAGGCTGAGGTGGGAGGATTGCTTGAACCTGGGAGGTTGAGACTGCGGTGAACTGTGTTTGTACCACTGCCTTCCAGCCTGGTGACAGAGTGAGACCTTGACTCAAAAAAGAAATAAAAGAAGGAATGAAGGGGAGGAAGAAAAGGAAGGGGAGGAGAGAAGAAAAAAAAAAAGAAAAGAAAACCTGGGCCCGGTGGCTCATGCCTGTAATCCTAGCACTTTGGGAGGCCAAGGCAGGCAGATCACAAGGTCAGGAGTTCAAGACCAGCCTGGCCACGGTGAAACCTGATCTCTACTAAAAAGACAAAAATTAGCTGGGTGTGGTGGCGTGTGCCTGTAATCCCAGCTACTTGAGAGGCTGAGGCAGGAGAATTGCTTGAACCCAAGAGGTGGAGGTTGCGGTGAGCCAAGATTGTGCCATTGCACTCCAGCCTGGGCAACAGAGTGAGACTGTCTCAAAAAAAGAAAGAGAGAGAGGAGAAGAGAAGAAGGTATGTTCAGCATAGGGCCTGAGCCAAAGTAAAAACTTAGTAAGTAATGATGAGAAAAGGGAAGGAAGTTCTGCGCAAAGGGCATGGCTGAGGCCCAGGCACAGAGCAGTGAGAAGCCAAGGACGTTCTGGAAGTTACACGGAGCTCCCTCTGGGCATCAGGGAGTGAGGCAGAGGCAAGAGAGGAAGAGGAGGAGGAGGAGGGAAGGAGAAGGGGGAAGACAGAAGGAGGAGGGGGGAAGGAAGAGGAGGAGGGAGAGGAGAGGGGGAGGGTAGGAAGAGGAGGAGGGGGGAAGGAGGAGGGAAGGAGGAGGAGGAGGGAAGGAGGAGGAGGGAAGGAAAAGGAGGGAAGGAGGGAAGGAGGAGGAAGAGGGATAGAGGAGGGAAGAAAGAAGAGGAGGGAAGGAGGAGGAGGGGGAAGGAGGAGGAGGGAAGGAGGAGGGGGAAGGAGGAGGGGGAGGAGAGGCAGTCAGCAGAGGACAAGTGTCACCAAAGCCCTGGGGAGGATGGGGCTCCAGGGAAGAGGACAGCGTCCCCAGGACTCACCAGGACAGGGTCAGAAAGGAGGAAGAGGCCACAGGGAGGCTGAGGAGCAGTCCCAGAGGCAGGGAGGAGGCCGGGGTTGAGGGTTAGGTGCCTGCTATTCAGGGAAGATGTCCTTGACTCAGCATCAAGCGGTCACTGGAGCTCTTGGGGCCCGGGGTCAAAGTTGGCAGGGACAGAAGTGGAGCCCGGCAGGGTGGCGGAGACAGCCAGGCAGGAATCGGGAGAGGCTGTGCCCGGAGGGCAGAGTGCCCTCGCTCCCCTCCCAGCAGCCTTCCCAACACATGAAATCCCAAAACCAGAGAGGCGATGAGGCCTCCAGGCCCCCGTTTGCCATGTGTAGAATGGGATGCCCTCACAGAAGACACTGCAGGCCCCCCACAGGATGGTTGCTAAGGCTCCTGTCATCTGGCGGGCCCCGCAGAAGCCTCACCCCCATCTCCCACAGGCACCTTCCGGAGCCTACAGCAGCCCCAAGGGTGGAGAGAAGGGGAGTTCAGCCCAGAGAAGACAAGGGGGCTGGCTGTGGCTGTCGGAGCAGCAGAGGCTTGGACGGAGCCAGAGCCAGGCTCCCACTGTCTCCACACAGCGCCACGTGCTCCGCCCCCCCCACCGCCCCCCGCCCCAGAAACTAAATGTTGGAGCTCAGATCTCAGAACTTCCTCAGTGAGAGCCCTCCCGGCCTCCTGAGCTGGGCCACGAGCCCCCGACGCCCTCACCTGTCGGGGTTGCTGCACGGTTCCTGCAAGCAGGGAGGCTGCAGCCCGTGGACCACGCGTGCCTCGAGCAGAAACTTGGGGGCCCAGAAGCCCAGGGCTCCAGCCACAAAGGCCATGGCAGTCACGCCGAGGGTCAACCACACAAAACTCCAGCTGCAAGACAGACAAGATGCCTCGGCTGAGGTCCGGCAGGGCTGGGGCTGAAGGGGCCTGTCCACCCTCCCCGATCCTGGGCACTCCAGGAACTTTCCATCTCGTGTCTCATTAACCTTCAAGATTCCGTAGGCAAGGCCGGGCGCGGGGGCTCACGCCTATAATCCCAGCACTTTGGGAGGCCGAGGCGGGTGGATCACGAGGTCAAGAGATCGAGACCATCCTGGTCAACATGGTGAAACCCCGACTCTACTAAAAATACAAAAAATTAGCTGGGCGTGGTGGCGCGTGCCTGTAATCCCAGCTACTCAGGAGGCTGAGGCAGGAGAATTGCTTGAACCCAGGAGGCGGAGGTTGTGGTGAGCCGAGATCGTGCCATTGCACTCCAGCCTTGGTGACAAGAGCGAAACTCTGTCTCAAAAAAAAAAAAAAAAAAAAAAGATTCTGTAGGCAGCATTCGCCACCCCCTCTTTACAGGCAGGCAAACTGAGGCTCCAAAGAAGGCGGCACTTAGGTTTCCCCAGACTCCAGCCTCCAGATCCTTCCCGGCATCTCCCCGAGCTCCAGCCTCCCCGACGTTTCTGAGGCCCCCACCTGCACATCCCAGCTCCGGCATGCCGCCTGCTCCCTCCGTCCTCTCTGCAGGACCCACTCTCCCCATCCTGAGGGGCCCCCATCCAGCATCACATTCTGTAGGAAGCTGTCCCTGCCTGCCCCATGTTCCCCTGAGTCCTCCCGGCCAGTGCCACAGCTCAATACCAGAATCGGGTCCTGTCCCTGGCCTGCACTGCAGTGAATCCGATGCCTGGGACCGGCAGGGGACTCCTGCCTGCCTCCCCAGCGTGGCTGGCACAGAGGATGACGCACGCCACAAGGCTGGGAGAGGTGAGTGATGAACTCCCAGCATCCTCCCCACAACCCAGAGAAGTGGACAAGGCTGGAGAATTCCTTCCATTGAATGAATGGACAATGAGGTTCTGAGCGCCAGGGCCACTTATGGGCAGGGCAGCAGCAGCAGCAAGGCTGGGGCTCACGCCATCTCACCTCCCTGTCCATATTTCTGTCACATGGCAAGGTGACGGGGGGCTGAGCTCTAAGGGAGGGAGGGCCACTTCCATTGGTAAGTGGAATCTCAGAGGAAGAGGAGGGCTGTGAATACTGGGGCAACCAAGGAGGGCTCCCTGGAGGCGGAGAAAGGGGGGTCAATGAGGCTGGGGCAGACAAAGGGGTTTTTCCGTGGCTGGCAGGGGGTAGCAGGGACACTCACTTTCTCCCCAGGTATCTGACATCTTCGAACCAGCTGCTCCTGGAGCCTCCTGCAGCCCCCTCCCCTTGCGTCTCCGCAGCTCCCCGGGGTGGGTCTGGAACCAGCAGGATAAGCAGGATCAAGGCCACAGCCTCCAGGCAGGGCATGATCTGGGGACAAGAGAGCCCGGGAAGCTGAGAACCACATATTCTCACAGGAGACCCCAGGGACAGCTGGCCACAGTACCAGCCAGCGTCTGACCTCTGGGGTCCAGGCCCTGGGGGTAGTCGGGGTGACGTGATTCCTGGGTGCTGCTATCCACAGAGCAGGACGTACCCCTGTTTCTCAGCCTGCTCCCCTGCAGCCTTTCTGGAGAGTGGGGTCTCTTTGGGGCTTGATGTAACTCCCATCTTTCCAGTACTGACACCACTCTTTTGGAGCCAGTGAGCCTGAGATAGTTGAGAACAGGGACCCTCGCTACACTGGCCCGGCCTCCGGAGGACTTGCTGCCCCTACAGCTGACCTTTCCCTGGGCCAGCCCTCCATCTGCCACACCCGTCTTGGTATCCCCTACTAGGGGCCCCTCGGCTCCAACCCCAAGGACGGGGATCTCACTGCCCGCCTTGGGTGACCGTCAAACAGCTCAGACCATGAGATGGTACATTCGAGCCAGGTCAGACCTGCCTCCTTGAAGCCCACCCCACCCGCAAGGTTCCGGCTCTGGCTTCAGTGCTCCACACACCAGCCCCTGGGCACACCCAGGGCTGAGCTCAGTGCCTTCCTCTGCAGAATGATCAGCTCATGCCCACATTGGAGTCACGATGCTGCAGCCCCAGCAGGACCTGCACAGCGTCTCCCGAGCATCCTGCCCCACTGCCCAGCAAGCCTCGCTGCCAGTCCTCAAGGGACCCCTCTGTGCCCTGACCCTGCGGCTCAGAAATTCCATCTCTGTCTCACTGACCCCCAAGATGCCTCCGGTAGCATTTAGTATCCCCACTCCGCCCCCAGGCAAACTGAGGCTCTGAAGAAGAAGGTGGCTCACTTGAGGTCACACATCGAGGACATGAAGTAGCCAGCTTTGGAACTCAGGGCCACGACCTCCACAACCCACGCTCCCTATGAGGCCCCAAATGTCCAAAGCTGCTGATGCCTGACCACCGCCCCCCACTGTGGCGCCGGGTGCTACGCCAAGTGCCAAAGGTCACCCGAGGCTGGAAAGTCCCTGCCGGTCCAGAGGGAAAGCAGAGGGAAGACAAGGAAGCTGGACTCACTCGTAGGGCCCAGCGCCAGCTCCCGGTCAGCACCGTCACAGCCGACCCCAGCACGTAGCCCAGGCCACTGCAACAGAGGGGCAAGGGGGATGGGCTGTTGGGGGGGCACGGGAGGCAGACCCCATGGCCAGCCTGACCTAGGGTGCCCCCCCCACCACCCCAGGGAGCTGACCCTCTGCACGCTCAGATCTGTTTCACTGAGGAAAGTAAGCCACGTGAGGCCCAGATGTCCACTGCCCTTGATCAAGCCACCAGCGGCCTCTGGCTCCCGGCCCACCCCCAGCACCACTCTGCCACCTATGGGGACACCCTCCACCCTCCTGCCCAAGGCTGGGCCCTGCTTGAGTCAGGCGAGTTCAGGAAAGCAGGGTCATAGGCCAGGGTCCTGACAGTAAGCCCCACCCGGGCCGAGCCTGTTGTGGGTGCAGGGCCTGGTCCTAGCACACTTCCTCCCCTGGCCGGCCCCTCCCTGCGCAGACCACGCTGCCGCCGAGTGTACGAATCTGTAGGTGCATCCCCATGCCCTCTACTCCTCCCCCGTCCATCAGCTGGGGCCCTTGCCCCGTTCACAGATGAGGAAACTGAGAGGTAAACTCACGCAGTGAGGAAGGGGCAACAATAGAATTCCAATCCCAGCTCCTCTGGTCTGACCTCTCCTACCCACCCCAGCCCCTGTTCTGACTCCTTCAGGCCTCAGTTTACCACCTGGGGAAGTAGACCCATGGGTGATACCAACCTTCCCACGGGGATGAAGATGTAGAAGACGGCCAGCACACGGGTGCGCTGGCCCCTCACAAAGAGGTCACCCAGGACGGTGGGTGCGATGGTGGCGTAGCTGCCGGAGCCAGTGCCCATGGTGCCCCGGGACAGGAAGAAGAGCCAAGCGTACTGGGCAAGCGGGCACAAGACCACAGTGAGTTCCAGAAACCACCATTGGGCCAGGGGCCAAGGGGACCCGTGACACAGGACCCCAGAGCAGGGAGCGGGGATGGGGGCTACAGACACCTCACTACCCTCCCGCTCCAGGTTCCCAAAGTCACACATGTGTCCCCTGCAGCCACCACCTGCCCTCCTGCTCAGGGGAGCCCTTCTCCTGGGTCCCTCCGTGGCTAACCAGGCCAGTTCCCCAAGACAGCAGCTGTTACCCCTAGCCCCACCCCAGCAGAATCGGGCAGAAATGAACCCAGTGTGGCAGTGAGAGGTAGGAGAGAGGAGGCCTCCTGTTAAGAAAGTCCACCAGCTTGGCTGGGCGCAGTGGTTCACGCAAGTAATCCCAGCACTTCGGGAGGCTGAGGCGAGGGGATCACCTGAGGTTAGGAGTTCAAGACCACCCTGGCCCACAAGGTAAAACCCTGTCTCTACAAAAACAACAAAAATTCACCAGGCTTGATGGCAGGTGCCTGGTATCCCAGCTACTCGGGAGGCTGAGGCAGGAGAATTGCTCGCACCCAGGAGGCGGAGGTTGCAGTGAGCCAAGACCATGCCATTGCACTCCAGCCTGGGCAACAAGAGAAAAACTCTGTCTTGAAAACAAAAAGAAAAAAGAAAGAAAGTCTCCGGCTCTGTCCTGTGCAGGCTCAGCTGGAGGCTGTGCCCTCACCTCCTCTCCCAGCCCTCAGTGCGACCCCCACTCATAGCCGGGAATGGAGCAGAATTGTCCCCACCCAGCTCTGCTGGGGCTGGGCCAGGGGGGAGGCAGGTGGGGAAGGGGCCCCCAGGGGCCTGGGCAGGGGCCTGGACACCTACCTGGCATGGGATGAAGGAGCCAGCCAGGCCAGCTCCTGACCACAGCAAGATCCCAAAGCCCATGGTGGCTTTCCGGCTATGTCGGTCACCCAGGTAGCCAAACACCGGTGCAGACAGCAGCAGGCAGCCGATGAAGACTGGAGGAGACACACAGGGGCAGCCTGGGTCCCCCCACAACTGTGATGGGGCAGGTGGCCCGGCAGGCCCGGGGAAGGAGCCTGACTCAGATGCCACGAGCTAGCATCTTGGCAGTTGGCCCAGGGCATGAGGAAGAAAAGATAAGGTGAATCTCACAGTGGTCTGCCAACATGCAACCCCAGCCCAGAGTGTGGGGGCCTGGACCCGGCACTGGCTCTAAGCATCACCCCAAAACTGGAGAAGTCACCATCCCCTCCAGGCTGGTAAAGGTGGGATGGGAGTGAATACGGAGCATCAGGCCTGGAACAGATGACAGCCTCCCGGCTTTACAAAGACACGTGACCCCTGTGAGCCTGGATATGGTACTGGTCTGATTTTTCATTCATACGCCTGCTGGGGCGACAGGGAGCAGGGGAAGAGGGAAGTCCGCCTGGGCCTGCTCTGAGCAGCAGATGAGAATGGTTTTGAACGAGCACACTGCGCCGGGAGTGGGGGCTCACGCCTGTAATCCCAGCAGTTTGGGAGGCCGAGGCAGGCAGATTGCCTGAGCTCAGAAGTTTAAGACCAGCCTGGGCAACACAGTGAAACCCCGTCTCTACTAAAAAAAATTCAAAAAATTAGCCAGGTGTGGTGGTGGGCACCTGTAACCCCAGCTACTCCGGAGGCTGAGGAACGAGAATCACTTGAACCTGGGAGGCGGCGGTGGCAGTGAGCCGAGATTATACCACTGCGCTCCAGCCTGGGTGACAGAGCAAGACTCCAGCTCAAAAACAGAAAGGGAAAAAAAAGAGCAAGCACATTGACTATGAATTAGTGACGAGTCCAGGAAGCCGGGAAAGAGTTGGTTTTCCTACTACGTAAAATGTTCCCTGGGCACAGCTGTATTTATACCTCTTTTTTTTTTTTTTTTTTTTAAGAGAGTCTTACTCTGTCACCCAGGCTGGAGGGCAGTGGCTCCATCTCAGCTCACTGCAGCCTCTGTCTCCTGGCCTCAACCCATCCTCCTACCTCAGCCTCCAGAGTAATCGAGACTACAGGCGTGTGCCACCACACCTGGCTAATTTTTGTAGTTTTTGTAGAGATAGGGTTTCACCATCTTGCCCAGGCTGGTCTTGAACTCCTGGGCTCAAGGGATCCACCCTCGGCCTCCCAAAGTGCTGGGATTACAAGTGTGAGCCACCGCTCCTGGCACTCTCTCCATTTTTCCACTGGGCTGTTGTTTGTTAATATATTTTGGAAATAAGTTCCCATCGTTTTCTATATTTGTTTTAAGAATTAAAAACTCAACTTCTGGGACTAAGTTGGCTGCGTTTGCATCCTGGCTCACCACTCTGGTTGTGTGACCCGGGGCAAATTCCTTAACTCTTCATGCTCCCTTTCATCAACAGCAATGTTCTGTTGTTGCATTACTGACAGGATGAAGTAAAATAAAGCACATGAAAGCTATCTGCATAGCTTCATGTAAATGTCCAATAAATGTCACCTATTATTATTACTAATTGCATAATTTCGATCACCATCATACAGAAGTGTTTAGCTTCGATGTGGTCAAATTTATTAACCTTCCAGAGGGGCAAGGGTTGTTTCATGTCTTGTTTATGCACATCTTCTTTACCCAAAAGTTATAAAAAATATTTCCCAGCCGAGTACGGTGGCTCATGCCTGTAATTCCAGCACTTTGGGAGGCTGAGGCGGGCGGATCACCTGAGGTCAGGAGTTCAAGACCAGCCTGGCCAACATGGTGAAACCCTGTCTCTACTGAAAGTACGGAAATTAGCTGGGCATGGTGGCTTGTGCCTGTAATCCCAGCTACCAGGGAGGCTGAGACAGGAGAATCACTTGAACCTGGGAGGCAGAGGTTGCAGTGAGCCAAGATTGTGTCACTGCAATCCAGGCTGTGTGACAGAGCAAGACTCTATCTCAAAAAACAAACAAACAGCAAAAAAAAAAAGCAAATATTAGTACATATATTTCCCCATATTTCTCATCTGCAGGGATCACTTGCAGGCTGTAAGTCCCTGCAGAGGCGCTGTGAACCTGCAGGTGCCCCTCCCAAGGGGAACACAGACAGTCTTCATTCCCAGCATCTCCAAACATAGCGGATGACATTAATCCTCCCGGAGTTAAAAGACAGGCTCAGGAGGCACACCTCCTGGATTCAAAATGGCATAAGAGTAAAACCTGCCTCGTGAATGTTAAATAAGCTGATATTTAAAGCACTTAGAATACTGCCTAGCACGGGGTAAGGGCCAAGTCAGTGTCAGTTTTAAATATTATTAATGAATTAGCTAACTCCAGCAGCCTCCCTATATCACGGAGGGCTGGAGGGAGCCTGACCACTGTGTCTTCTCCCCTTCCACCCCTTTCTCTTTTTGTTTTTTTTGAGACAGTCTCGCTCTGTGGCCCAGTCTGGAGTGCAGCGGCATTGACCTCGGCTCACTGCAACCTCCACCTTCTGGGTTCAAGTGATTCTCCTGCCTCAGTCTCCTGAGTAGCTGGGCTTACAGGGACCCACCACCACGCCTGGCTAATTTTTGTATTTTTTGTAGAGATGGGGTTTCACCATGTTGGCCAGGCTGGTCTCAAACTCCCGACCTCAGGTGATCTGCCCACCTCGGCCTCCCAAAATGCTGGGATCACAGGTGTGAGCCATGGTGCCCAGCCCAGCCCCTCTATCTCTTCACCAACCTCTCTCTCAGTCACCAGGTTCCTCCTGTCAGCAGGCCTGCGGACAGACAACAGGCTGGCGCTAAGGGCCATGCAATGGCAACAGAAAAAGGTGGAGACTCACCTGAGCCGCCAGAGACCATCAGCCTCCAAGCCCACTGTCCTTTCCACGACATTTTTGGGCTGTTTTTGCAAAGATGACCCTTCTCTTCACCTACTCCCAAACACACACACACACACACACACACACACACACACACACACACACTCCTCCCTCTGTGGCCCAGGCTTTATAGTAATAATCCTGACCACTATGGTAAGAACCAGGTAAGGACAGGGCACGGTGGATCACGCTTGTAATCTCAACATTTTGGGAGGCCAAGGCTGGTAGACCACCTGAGGTCTGGAGATCAATACCACCCGGGCCACACGGTGAGACCCCATCTCTACTAAAAATATAAAAATTAGTGGGCATGGTGGCAGACACCTGTAGTCCCAGCTACTTGGGAGGCTGAGGCAGGAGAATAACTTGAACTCAGGAGGTGGAGGTTGCAGTGAGCCGAGATCATGCCATTGCACTCCAGCCTGGGCAATAAGAGCAAAACTCCATCTCAAGAAAGAAAAACAAAAAGAACCAGTGAAGGGAAATGTTGACTACACCACCATCATCTATTTAATCGAGAAGGCTGTGGGTGTTGAACCAAGATGGTCTTACTTCAGCTACTTAACCAAGATGTGGCTGGAAAATCAGCTGCCAGCCTCTTGGCCACAAGACTGAGGGGCAATTGGAAATGATGCGTGTTCTAAAGCTGTGATCTTCTAACTCTCGCTCACGTCACTCTCAAAGAAGTTTCTAGAACTACGTACTCCTCCACACATTTTCGGCTAACACTAAAATGTTCTTATCGTAAGTTTGAATCGTTGCCAAGGATGGGATTTCCCACATTGCTGCTTCTTTTTTTTAACTGTATTTTCATCCAAACTCTTGGAGCTACAGGGCCAAGTTGATTCCGTTTCTGGGAAATCTCTGCAGTAGAATCTAAGCAAGGACACCCATCCTCTTCTGCCAAACCAATTACACAATCAAAACTGATTATAAGAAAAATGTTGGTTTTGTTTTTTTCACTGAAAGAAATGTGTGAACATGCATCCCTGAGACCATTATCTCACTCCGAATTCTAATTTGTGGATAGATGGTAGACATGACACGCAGGGATGGCTAGATAAGGCCTGGCTCCTTGCCTGGGCCTGTGGCCTGGAGCAAACCTCCCAGCACGTGTCTCCTGATGCTCCCTGCTTGGCTCCCAAGACCCGCCCCCGACAGAAACCAAGCATCCACATGGGAGGGAGCCTGGAGGGTTCTACACCCAGGACAGGGAGAGGAGTCCCTTTCTGCTTCCCTCAGTAGACAGGGAATTGGGAAGGAGAAGAAGAGAAAGGGAACGCGCAGGCTGACCACAGGCTTCCCCTCAGGCAAATAGTTTTAGGAAAAAACACACAGGCTTGAGGATCTAGAACTGAGTCAATCTCTCAAAACTCTCTGTGTTCATGCAGCCGCTGGAAAGTTACTGTATATCCCCAGGAATACCTGTACCCAGTTTGAGAGCCATGTTCCTTTTCTTTCTTTTTTTTTTTTTTTTTTTTTTCTGAGATGGAGTCTCACTCTGTCACCCAGGCTGGAGTGCACTGGTGCCATCTCATCCCACTGCAGCCTCCGCCTCCTGGGTTCAAGCAATTCTCCTGCCTCAGCCTCCTGAGAAGCTAGGATTACAAGCATATGCCACGACACCCAGCTAATTTTTTTGTAATTTTAGTAGACACGGCGTTTCACCATGTTGGCCAGGCTGGTCTCGAACTCCTGACCTCATGATCCACTCGCCTCGGCTTTCCAAAGTGCTGGGAATACAGGCATGAGCCGCCACACCCAGCTGAGAGTCATGTTCCAAAGCCCTGAGACGCTGCATGCTACTTACAGGCTGGGTGTGTGTGCACGTGTGTATCACATGTTGTGACTATGTGTGTGCACATGTGGGTGTGTGTCGCCATCCAGGCACCCACAGGGGAAAAGCTCATGCCTCATGGCCCCAGCCGCTCTGATGCTGAGATGGGACGGGTGGCCGCCCTCACTGCCAGGTGTTAGGCTGTCTGTGGGCCGCGCCCCTCTGAGCCCATGCGGGCAGATGTGTCTGTCTGTCTGTGTCTGTGTCTGTCCCAGTAGTCAGATTTTTCAGGTCTGTGAGACGAAGGCACACATCAGGATTTCTTTCTTTTTTTTTTTTTTTGAGACGGAGTTTCGCTCTTGTTACCCAGGCTGGAGTGCAATGGCGTGATCTCGGCTCACCGCAACCTCTGCCTCCTGGGTTCAAGCAATTCTCCTGCCTCAGCCTCCTGAGTAGCTGGGATTACAGGCACGCGCCACCACGCCCAGCTAATTTTTTTTATTTTTAGTAGAGACGGGGTTTCACCATGTTGACCAGGATGGTCTCGATCTCTCGACCTCGTGATCCACCCGTCTCGGCCTCCCAAAGTGCTGGGATTACAGACTTGAGCCACCGCGCCCGGCCCTCACATCAGGATTTCTGAAACCCAAGCAAGCCTCAGGTGCATAGCTGAGCTTCACCAATGCCAAGGGACAGAGTGATCAGCTCCGCAGCCAGGAGCTGAAGTGCGGGGCCTCCCCCAGCCCCATCTCCCTCTACTTTCCTGCGGTACCCTCCACTCGAACTAGTGTGGCTGTTCCAGCCTAGGCTCCCTCCTCCTCCTGCCCAGATTGCCCATCAGGCCACGCCCCACCCACTCCCTGTGCCAGCGGACCCAGTGGGGCTGAAGCTGGGCACAGAACATGAGCCACTGAAAGAGCCCACCCCAGCATGAGCCCAGGGCCCCAGCTCCAGAGCCGGGACTCCTCCTTACCAGTCTGAAGCAAACCAGCATTGCTGTCACTGATGTGGAAAAACGTCTGTACGTCCAGCAGCACTCCTGCGGACAGAGGGACAGTGCTCATGAAACGGGAAGTTGCCCTCCTGGTATCGAAAGGGGCAGAGGGTTGCAGCTGACCAGCACGGCACAGGGCATGGCACCCAGCACAGTGTCCTGTCCCCATCTCCCACACATGTACAACCACATGCACACAAGAGCAGGCACACAGAGAAACGTGTGCATATCAAACACTCAAAGCAACAAGCATCTCAAAGGCATGGATGTTCACATACACAAGTTTACACACACGCCTGCAGCCACGTGGCTCCTTCCCCGCTTCACGTGCGAACACAAACATAAGTCGTGGCTCACATCTGCAATCCCAGCACTTTGGGGGGCTGAGGCAGCCACAAAGTCAGGAGATTGAGATCAGCCTGGCTAACATGGAGAAACCCCATCTCTACAAAAAAATACAGAAATTAGCTGAGCATGGTGGCTTGCATCTGTAGTCCCAGATACTCAGGAGGCTGAGGCAGGAGAATCACTTGAACCCGGGAGACAGAGGTTGCGGTGAGCCAAGATTGCACCACTGCACTCCAGCCTGGGCCACAGAGTGAGACTCTGTCTCAAACAAGAAAAAATAAATTAGCTGGGCGTGGTGGCAGGTGCCTATAATTCCAGCTACTCAGGAGGCTGAGGCAGAAGAATCGTTGAACCGGGGAGGCGGAGGTGGCGGCGAGCCAAGATCGCGCCCATTGCACTCTAGCCTAGGCAATAAAAGCAAAACTCGGTCTCAAAAACAAAGCAAAACTAAACCAAAAAACAAGGCATTGCCAGAGAAACACACCTGCAGAGGCACAAATATACACACACAGGAACTCACACTCACAGACATGTACACCCAGCCTCATACACCCAGACACACATACACACGTGCAGTGAGATGAACCCATAGAGACACACCCAGAGTTCTGCCAACCTGTGCACAGGCTCAGGGCTGCCACCCATCGTGCAGTCGGGGGGTGCTGGTGGCTCTCTTGCTGCGAGGTGCACAGCCCTTCGCTTAGGCCGCTGAGTAAACGGAAGTCCCTGGAGGTGTGTGACACGGTGGCCTTGCCCATGCACAATCACCAGGCATGCACAAATGAACAGATACGTACAAAGACACAAGTGTCCCGGCTTGCACGCATGCAAGCACGCACACACAAGCATGTTCTTCCCTAGGCGCAGCAGTGGGTGCCCCGGCTAATGCACAGAGACAAAGTTGGTCTCCCAGACACTAGGGTCTGTTTCCTGGCAGCCTCTTGGTAGTATCTCGGAAGGCTCCGGGTCTGCAGTACCCGCTCACATGAGCCAGGCAGCTCTAGTCCTTCATTATCATGAAGAAGAATGATCATCACATTTATGATCAGAAGAAGACCGAGACCCAGGCCCTGAGCTGTACACACAACGCTGTCATCCTAAAAGGTGGGGACTCTCATTGCTCCCATTCTACAGATGAAGAAACGGAGGCTCTAGCTGCCCAAGTTTACCCATCTGAAGCTGGAAGAGCTGAGACTCAAATCTCAGCCACAGGAAGCCTGTCCGCACACCCAGAACCACAGAAAGGGAACAGAAGCCCCTACGTGGGTCCCCACAGAAACACCTATCCCAAGAAAACCCTGCATGCACACCTCCAAGACATGCCCCATGCACATAAAGATCAAGGAATCGGGCCAGGTGTGGTGGCTCACACCTGTAATCCCAGGATTTTGGGAGGCTGAAGCAGGCAGATGGCAAGGTCAGGAGATCCAGACCAGCCTGGCTAAACCTCGTCTCTACTAAAAATACAAAAAATTAGGCAGGAGTGGTGGGACCTGCCTATAATCCCAGCTACTCGGAGGTGGAGGCAGGAGAATCGCTTGAACCCGGGAGGTGGAGGTGGCAGTGAGCAGAGATTACGCCACTGCACTCTGGCCTGGGTGACAGAGTAAGACTCCATCTCAAAAAAAAAAAAAAAAAAAATCAAAGAAACAGAGAAGCAACATAAGAAATCTTTGTTTAGACATTTAATTTGTCCCCAGTTGCCACCACAACCTGGCATACAAACCAGTATGTCTTTTTCCCCCTTTTAATATTTTCTTTATTTCCTGTTGTTTTGTTTTGTTTTTGAGATGGAGTCTCATTCTTTCATCCAGGCTGGAGTGCAATGGCGCGATCTCGGCTCACTGCAACCTCCGCATCTTGGGTTCAGGCTATTATTCTCCTGCCTCAGCCTCCCAAGTAGCTGGGATTACAGTCACACGCCATCATGCTCGGCTAATTTTTGTATTTTTAGTATAGACAGGGTTTCACCCTGTTGGCCAGGCTGGTCTCGAACTCCTGACCTCAGGTGATCCACCTGTCTTGGCCACCCAAAGTGCTGGGATTACAGGCATGAGCCACCGTGCCCGGCCTGTTGCTGTTTTTGTTTTTGTTTTTTTTTTTTTTTAGGTCTTTTTTTTTTTTTTTTTTTTTTGAGACGGAGTTTCGCTCTTGTTACCCAGGCTGGAGTGCAATGGCGCGATCTCGGCTCACCGCAACCTCCGCCTCCTGGGTTCAGGCAATTCTCCTGCCTCAGCCTCCTGAGTAGCTGGGATTACAGGCACGTGCCGCCATGCCCAGCTAATTTTTTGTATTTTTAGTAGAGACGGGGTTTCACCATGTTGACCAGGATGGTCTCGATCTCTCGACCTCGTGATCCACCCGCCTCGGCCTCCCAAAGTGCTGGGATTACAGGCTTGAGCCACCGCACCCGGCCTGCTGTTGCTGTTTTTTTGAGACGGAGTCTCGCTATGTCACCCAGGCTGGAGTGCAGTGGTGTTATCTCAGCTCATTGCAACCTCTGCCTCCTGGTTCAAGCAATTCTCCTGCGTCAGCCTCCCAAGTGGCTAGGATTACAGGCATGCACCATCACGTCTGGCTAATTTTTTTGTAATTTTAGTAGAGATGGAGTTTCACTGTGCTGGCCAGGCTGGTCTTGAACTCCTGGATCGCTCCACAAGTGACCCACATGCCTTGGCCTCTCAAAGTCCCCCTTTTATTATTTCAAATACACAAAGAAGACAGTCATTGGAAAGAAAAAAAATACACAACACAGGTAAGCAAAATAAATAGCTAAATGCAAATGCTCTAAATTGTGCCCATCTTCCATTTTTAGGAATTAGGACTCATCCCTTTGTCACCTCCTGGGCTCCCCCCAGCTCCGTGGCGCTCTGGGGATGACCCAGAGCCAAGCGTGTACCCAGCCTTGCTGTTACCTGTAGCCCACCACCCTGGCCCCAAAAGAGCCATTTCCTGCAAGAACATATCAGCCCCCACCCGTTTCCAGATACTCAGCACGATTTCACTTCTCCAGGCCTCTATTGCCCCAGTAACCACAGCCCCCTTTCTTACACATCCAGAGGAAGTGCTAACGGGGAAGGGACCTGGACAGGCAAGACGCAGGGTCTTAGGGCCCAGCCAGGGGCCCTCAGAGTCAGCAGCAGAGATAGCAGGTCCCCCGGTTCCTGGGTTCAGGGCGCTCTGCACTGGCAATTCCCGGCTCCCATCCGCCTCTTGCTCCTTCCCTCCTTTGCTGGCCCTCAGCCCACACTCCAGATCAGGCCTCCTCAGCTTTGGCCTGATTCTGAACTGACTCCCCGGCTCGTCTTGCCTCCATCAGGGCTTCAAATCCAATTATACGGCTCCCCATTGCCCAAGGCAGAAAACCCAAGCTCCCAGCCTGGCACCCAAGAAGCTTGTGATCTCACCCCATACGTTCACATCTGGAGGCACACAAACCCTTCTGGGGTTTTTGTTGTTGTTTATTGTGTTTTGTTTTGCTTTGTTTTTGTTTTTTGTCTTTAGGGGATTTTTTTTTGAGATAGGATCTTGTTCTGTCACTCAGACTACGGTGCAGTGGTACCATCATGGCTCACTGCAGCCTCAAGCAATCCTCCTGCCTCAGCCTCCCAAGTAGCTAGGACATCAGGCTTGCATCACCGTCCCTGGCTAATTTTTAACATTTTTTGTAGAGAAGGTTTTCCTCTTTTGCCCAGGCTGGTCTTGAACATCTGACCTCAAGTGAGGAGGAGGAACTCCTGACCTCTGAGCTCCTCAAAGACAACAACCAGGTCTAGGGGTGATTCTGCAGCCCCTAAAGTTTTATGATTCCATAGCCACTCTCTGGCATGCTGAGCTGGTAAGTGACAGGCAGCTGCAGCCCCTCTCCTGAGCTCCCAGCCTGGCCTGTGCCTGCCCCGCGTCTGGCCTCACCTCTCTGCCTCGCAGGACTGCCGTCGATCAGCCCCTATTTCTGCCCCAGGAGATGGTCGTTCCTGAGTTCAGGAACTACAAGTCTGATTTCCACCCTGGGTCCCCAGCAGCCACCAGGGGGTCCTGCCCACAGTTGGTCTTGAATGAATGAGTGAATGAATGAATGACAAGGAGAGAACAAGTGAAGTCACAATCAGTATTTTCTTTTTAAGATCGAGTCTCGGCCAGGCGCGGTGGCTCAAGCCTGTAAGCCCAGCACTTTGGGAGGCCGAGGTGGCTGGATCACAAGGTCAAGAGATCGAGACCATCCTGGTCAACATGGTGAAACCCCGTCTCTACTAAAAATACAAAACATTAGCTGGGCATGGTGGCACATGCCTGTTATCCCAGCTACTCAGGAGGCCGAGGCAGGAGAATTGCCTGAACCCAGGAGGCGGAGGTTGCGGTGAGCCGAGATCGCGCCATTGCACTCCAGCCTGGGTAACAAGAGTGAAACTCCGTCTCAAAAAAAAAAAAAAAAGATCGAGTCTCACTCTGTCGCCCAGGCTGGAGTGCAGTGATGTGATCTCAGCTCACTGCAACCTCCGCCTCCCAGGTTCAAGCAATTCTCCTGCCTCAGCCTTCCTAGTATCTGGGATCACAGGTGCACACCACCACACCTAGCTAATTTTTGTATTTTTAGTAGAGATGGGGTTTCACCATGTTGGCCAGGCTGGTCTCGAATTCCCAACCTCAGGTGA